TAACGAGCAGTATACCTTGAATATTGTAGCTAACAAACTTATGTAGCAATGAATATTTCTTGTCATGCTTGTATGCTTCTTGCTTTTGTGTCAACAGACTAGTGATTGAAACTTGAGCTTAGAAACCTAATATCTTTAGATGAGAAAAAAACATAGATTTACAGATTTCACTTGTAGTGTAATATTTGAAGGAAAACCCTCATCTTGGTTTGCTATCAGTGTCGTTGTTAGATAAGGATGTATTATTTCACCACTGATGTCCTTGATAGCCATCCACTGAGTCATAAGGGAGTCCACCAAGAACAAGTGTACATGCATCAGGTGAAAATCCAAACCCACAGACATATCTACAAATGAATATATTACTATTACTGTCTATACAAAAGTTTTTCGAAGCGTATTTTGTTTCATGGTGTTGTATTTCTAGATGTGGTTTAAATCTTGCATGGCAGTACGAGTTTGGATATCTGTCATACAATCACCAGTATTTATTTTTAAGGAACTTAATATTTGGAGTAAGCTACATTTTCAATGACTTCTCTGTTCAACGCTTATACTGAAAACATCACGAGAAAACCATAAATTTATAATAAGGACACTACAGCCTTATGTGCCAACCCCCAAAAAAAGAAGAAGCAGGGTCTCTTATATAGACAGAAAGAAAATATAGGTGAAACTTAAAAATTAAAACTTAATGTCAAATAGACTAAATTTATAGACAATAGGAGAGTTACTACCCAATACTACAATCTCTATAGACAGGTGTACTGAGTAATGCATCCCTCCATACTCCTCTAAGTACTTCAGCTAAACCACTGTGTTCACCTTCCACCTTACTCTTCCTATATAGAAGGATATGTAAGAACTTTTGTTTATTTGTTGAGTTTTGTGCAAAGCTAGACAAGAACAACTTGCGCTAGCAGTCCCTAATTTTGAAATAATAAAGGGAAGTCAGCTGATCAACACCACCCACCGCCAACTCTTGCACTACTCTTCACCAATGAATAGTAAGATTAATCACATTATAACATAATAAAGGTGAATCATTTGCAACTTTATGTGAATTGCACAACTTAGTCATAGGAGGCGTCCACATAAAGCAATTTACAAACAAATATGGGGTTTCACTAAACAATAAAGCCGAAAAACAAATAGACCACATTGAAATCAACTGTAAGTGGAGAATGTTACTAGTAAGACCAAGGTTCGCAGAGGGACTGATGTCAGAAGGAATCACATTTTAGTGTCTGCTAAGATACAGCTTAAGCTGCATAAACAGGCAAAAGACAAATGAAGGAAGAGGTTTGCTGTAGTTAAGAAAAGTTTCTGTCTGAAGCTACAAAATATATTCCAGGTTATAGCAGAAGCAGATCAGAAGAGAATGGAATGGAGTCCCTGAAGGAAAGTATAAGGGATGCCTTCATGGAAGCAAAAGAAGAGGTGGTAGGATATGACAGGAATAAGAGAAAAGATTTGATCTCAAAAGAGACATGGAAGCCAACAGAAGATAGGAGAGGGATGAAGAATCAGGTGTGAAGTTGCGTTTCAGATGAGAAAGGGGAGGAGCTTCAACAGTTGTACAAAGTTAATGATAAGAAAGTGAAGAAAACTGATAGACAAGACAAAATAATCTATATAGGTTTTAAATTATTAGTTTAGTAAAATGTACCCAGAGTTTAAAATATGGCGACAAAAAGTATATTATATTGCCAATTACTTCTGATCGGCATAAGGAGTAAGGTCGCAAGACTAACGAATTGGAACTATGTAATTAGGTTTTCTAAAGTTTATCTGGACCAGGCGATCTGGTGTACCAGAAAACATACTTTTTAATTTTCTAACGGAGTTTTGTATATTTCAGTAATTTATCTTTATAACATAAGGGAAAAAAAAGATGGAACACAATAGAGACGAATTTGGGATTTCTAACTGTGAGAGACTGACCGTATCTGATGAAAAATCAACTTAGTAAGAAAACAAGATAACCAATGGGATCGGACTGTGAAGAATAAACTGCGACTGACATCTTACAAGTTACATGTTACAAACTTGAGTTCTGAATTTGACAGCTGAACATATTTTTAAATAAATGTTCAGTTGACTTCTTTTAAAATGATGCCTATTCAACATGATAATAATAATGATAAAACATACAAAACTTAGTTCAAGAACAACTGAGAGTCTGTCAAATGTTACCATTAAGGAGGCTTCAAAGAATAATTAAATACTCTGTATCTTTTCACCAAAACTTAAAAACACTTTATATATATATATGTGTGTGTGTGATAAAATTTAACGCCCGCGAACTTAAAAAAAGCGATGATTTTCCCTTTCAAGAGCTGGATGTGGCATAGTGTATCAGAATCCGAATCAAACAATTCAAGGTTCAAATTGTGATGTCACTGAGTACGTTTCGTACTTTCATCTGTGAGGGCTTTTTAAAAGTGACAATCAATCTCGTGATGCGTTTCAAAGAGCCGGACGAAGATCTTGAGGTGCTCATGTCAGTACACTTAGTTTAAATATTGAAATCGCTGTACCTAAATCCTAGCAGTGTCTGACCTGGCTGTTAGGCCCACATGCTTATAAAAATGTCGTTTAGGTAGAACATTTCCATTTGCGCTTTCAAATTTTTCAAATTCACAAAAGATCATGCATTCGAGTTTATTTTCATATTGATATGTACATATGGAGAGTGGTAAAATCGACACAATAATGGAGCGTTGCGCTAATACTTAAATCGATTTTAAATCATTATCATATACACTATTTATATATTTATTCTTTGACAGAAATGAAAATAAAAAAAGAATAATCTTCCCTGATTGAAGCAAGAGAAAATGGTCAAAGTAAAAGAGAATAGACCATAAAAACCAGTCCCTCGGAGGGACAGTGGTAAGTCTACGGAGTTACAACGCTAAAATCAGTGATTAGATTCATCGCGATGGACACGGCAGATAACCCAATGTGACTTTCCTTTGAAAAAAACCACACACCATGAAACCATTTTTTAAATATATTTTGCCAATTAATGCGTGCTATTTATCACATAGACCGGAAATAAAGGTCTATTGTTTATTTAAGTTGTTTTTGTTTGTTAGATCTCTTTGAAATATAAAGAATATTGATAAATTGTTACTTCCAGAAACAACAAATATTTTTTTTTTATCCTGTGAAATTTGCTAAATACAGTTCAAACATAAAACACAAAAAATAGTACGAAAAAGAACAAGATTTATATGCAATTTCTCTATTGAAATTAAAATTTCGTTAATGAACCTAATTCAAATATCACCTTTTGTCGCTGTAGAGTAAAGAACTGATTACCCCTAACATTGAGTACAACGAATACTGCTCCAAGAGCACATCTTGAGTACTCTTATTGGTTACGGGATTATATAACATTACGTGACATTTAAACCATCGTTATCGTCTCATGATCTTTAGAAGGAACGACAGTGAGAATGAGAAGGAATTATGCAAATAAAGGAAATGTAATGCATTCGGTATAGAACAAGAATATGGATGCAAAAAATAAAAAAACGATATCCGGCACGCGCATTTCTTGCTTATAACACTGGGCGTGGTAAATATATTAAAACTGGTCGTCCTTGAAACCAGACACTACCGGGAATTTCGTACAGCATAATACTACTCAGGTTTTTGGACCGCTTACAATTAGGATAATTACGCATGCTGATTTTATAACCATGTATCTGTAAATCCCGCAAAGGTGTTATTGCTGAAACTAGCTAACTCGTTTTTATATCTATAATAATAATAGTCAGTTTTTTGTTTGTCCTGAAAATAAGTGTGCACGCTCCTTCTAAATGCGTATGCGCGCGCACTTAACAGATGTAAGCAAAAAGCAGATATAAATATACTTTAGTAGACATTTTGTATAACAACATATTAAGAGTTTAAAGTTTATAAAAAGATCTAACGTTAGGTCGTATAATAACGTTATATGTTTATTTATTGATAGTATTAAGTACGGTAAAGTTTAGCCCTCACTAAACTAAAGCAAAAAACGAACATAAGTTACAGTGTTAATTCATCTCTTTATCGAATATAGGCCGTACTTAATAAAGGCTTAAGTAATGTTAAGCCTAAGACAAGTGGGCTTGTAGGTTTCGGTGTTTACGATTATAATTCTTTTGTATTATTCTAGAAATCCTTTATTTAAACAAGTACTGTTGCAATAAAAATTCTAAACTTACCGGTTTCTACGAGTCAATAAAAATTCTATTATGCTTATCAACAGTTTGTTTGAGTTTTAGAGACAAAGAACATAGAATATCTTAAAACAAACATGAAATTTGTTCCCCAAACACAAAATTCTTTGAACTATAACACGACTGTTGCAGTAATATAAACCCACGTATTTTGTTGTTGTTTTTTTTTGTCTGTTTTCTAATAACTCAGATGAGTTGTGGATTTCGACTGTGTTTATTTAAATACATTGTTTCGTAAAAGTCACATTTTTATGAAGAGTTCTGGTCTGAACCGTTCATCTGAGGTCATTTTTAAAATCTTATTTGTAAGCAGTGTTTGAATTTTAATTGTTATGAAATGCCTTAATTTACTAATATTATTGTAAATACGTATACTGTATATAATTCAACACAAACACTGGGTACCAGCCAAAATAAATCGTTCTGTTTGTGTTCTGTCTTGTTTTTAACACAACTTTTATTACAGTGTATATCCACTGCATCCAAATGAACAAAGAATTATCAGAAAATACAATGTATGCCTGTGAACTGACTCCTTTGGAAGTACACGAGTCTTGAAAATTGTATTACGATTCTATTATATTTAGAACAGATAATTTTATCAGAAAGCTAGTTAAACATGTCGGTTCATTCCACATATCATCATCATCCTCTGTATTGAACTATTTTAACGAAATTAAGGAAACTATATACCACGATAATAAAAGTTACAGCTGAAGAACACACTTCAATGATCGAACAAAAGAAACACACACAACTCCCACAATTAGAGACACGTGTATTAAGACAAGTTAACCAACTACAGATACATATCACCACAATTGTTTTTGTTGGTATACGTTTGTTTGATAATCGAATATTTTTACAGGAATCTAAATATTGATACGTTTTATTGGTGAATATCAAAACAGTGAATTTGAAGACGTATTTTAACGGTTTAAAATACAAGCCTCTACTAAGAACGTTCACGTTTTTTTCAGTATGACCAGTTTAAGTTCAGTTTTATGCATTGAAGGTTACCACGTTAACTTTGGCAGGTTTATTCAAATATAACTAATTAAGTATACATTATTAAAATCCCATCAGTGTATTTTCACTGAAAAATATACCTTCGTAATACACGATATTTTGGTTAATCTTTCTTGAATATAGTGAAAAGTACAATTGCACTTTAATATAAGATAAACATATACACAAGATTCATATAAAACAAATGAAATTAGAAAAAGATGCCTCTTTGTAAAAATATATGTATAAAATACTGCCCAAAACTATATATGTGTGTGTGTGTGTGCACGCGCGTATATATATATAGATATAGATTACATACGTTACTTTGAGTTTACCGACTTATGCAATGAACTTGTACAGATCTAAAAAAATTATATTTCAGTACATTGTTTCATTTGTATTTTCAGTCTGTTGTTTTATAGATCATAAAGAACAAGTATGTAAAAAAATACCACCTTAAAAACTAACAAAGTATATACAGCACCACCTGCAGATGGTGAACCATTCGATGTATTCTTCTATTCATCACATGCAAATCTCTTAATAATAAATCAAACTGTTATTGCTCCAACTCTTTTGATTCTGTTGGAAATTTTCCAATAACTACAAAAAGATTAAAAATTTCACAGTGAACAACTTTTTTTTCTTTATATTTTAAGTTGAATATTTTTGAAAATCCGAAACAATTTTTAAATATTCCATCTATTTTTTGACTTACCATTCCAAAAGTACGGTTATTCCAAATTTCTTTTATAGAAACAAAAATCTCAATACCTTCTAAGGCATTTTATGTTTAAGTTTATAACCTAATTAATATGGCACAAAAGCCAAATATTATCTTCAACCACTAGATGACGCTGTAATTAATTTCAGAATGGCAAGCAGTGTTCATATCCAGATTTCGTTCTTCTGATACTGTATTATTCTTAGTATCCATAACTGTACTGATAGTAAGGACCAGGATATCCGTAGCCATAGCCATATTGTTGTCTTTTGTCAGGGTACACAGGCATTAGGTACTGCATGTTCTTAGCTTGTTCAATTTTCTTCTCTTTACGTAAGCAACGAGCACCACAGAGAAACAAGATGGCGGAAATGAGATTCGTTCCCACGCCAATCCATGCGAGTATATAAGACCAGCCATGATAATATTTAGTTTGTCCTGGTTGCTTCAGAATCTTAAATAAAATACAAATTAGTATTAAGTGAAATATACACCAGAAGCGTTTTTATAAAGCTACACAATGGCCTATCTCTGCTCTGGCCACTGCAAGTATCAAAACCCGATTTATAGCGTTTTAAGATCACTGACTTGGCTAATAAGCATCATTTGAAGAAAATTATTGTGCTCCAATTTAATGTGATAGAAATCATGTTTGGCTGCTGACGACAAGCTTAATGAGCTTCCTTACATCAGCAGATTAGGCTTTTTAACATCACAATATTTTCCCTGTTTAACAACTTGTTTGTAAGTAATTTTCATAAAGCAAGCAAGCATTCCAATAATAATTTTCAGTCATACAAGAATTTGCGCGAATACAGTTCACGATCCAAGTTAAACTATAAAAGTTATTTTATTTTGTCGAGCCAGTTATCATAATCACTATAACCTGCAAGATTCTTTAGAACACTTAACCCTGTAGTTACAGCCACTAATTTTAAAATTATATTTATATTACTTTACCTTTCTTATTGCAACTTTCTTGTGGCAATGATTGTTCGCGTATCATTTATATTCAAAATACGAAATAACAGTGGGTTTTTATACAGGTGCGGTATTTAATGTATCCTACTCAAAATACGAAAAACTAATGAAGAGCAAAGAACGCCGTCATCATTGAAACGATATTTATCGTTTCGCCAATTATCATTTTTATTTGTCAAAAAGCATCAAAGTTTGTGTAACGTACAGAAAAGAATCATGGACATAAGTTGTGACTGCTGTTGAGAACTGTCTAGGTACAACGTTTACGGCTAGTCTGTCTTCCATGAGGGTCAGAACAGCATAGCATTATCATGTTTGTTTAAATAAGCCTATGTTTAATTTTGGTGACGTTTTCTTACATAAAATATCTTCTTATCCGCTTGAAGTAACATTCACTTAGTAAAACGATAACTGGGTACTTGATGCAATACTAAATTAGCAGAACATGTAACTGGGTACTTGATGCAATACTAAATTAGCAGAACATGTAACTGGGTACTTGATGCAATACTAAATTAGCAGAACATGTAACT